AAGATGTCCTGCGTCTGATACACCCATCTGGAGATCATCTGCCACATCCTGCACCCATCTTCTCCTTGGCCTTCCTCTTCCTCTCTTCCCAGGCATATACCCCTCCATTATTGTTCTCTCTAGACCTCCATGACGTTTCAAGTGACCAAAATATTTCAATTTTCTTTGTTTTATTGTCTTTACTAGCCAACCCTCTTCAATATTCAGCTCTTGAAGTATGGATGCATTTGTTCTTTTCTTTACCCAAGATATTCTTAGAACCTGTCTGTAACAAGAAACACATAACCAGAGAAATTACAGAGAGAAACAAGTGGAGAGCATCATAAATATTGAAAACTGACAGGATCAATGAAGTTATACCCGATCAACCATCCTTATCACACATCGGACAAGTCAGATCCCATCTTCAGTATCTCCCTCAGCGTGTGGTAACTGATAACACTAGTTCTGTGTTGGTTTACCACTGTTCTCTGCCTATGTGTATGGTGTTCATGAACGGCATCTGTTGACATGAAGTTCTTGTAGTTTTGTCAAGGTTTCCAATTCATTGTCATCTGCTGAATCACCTATGGGCCTGTCTCCTTGAGAACACTGAGATGATCAGCCCGGTGGCTAGTGCAACAGTCTCTGTACAAGCTGACAGTAGGATAGCTCCATTCAGGCTGAGATGAGAACAAGTCTTATTCAGAAGTTAAGAGTTGAAACGAGAGGCTGAAGACAGAGTGGGCAGAAGGAGAATGGAAACAGGGTGTCAAAGACTACAACAGATCAACTGTTAGACTTCCACCTCAGTAGCCCCCACTAGCCACTCTCTGCACTCCCGGCCTAATGTGATCATAACCCTACACAGGTCAGACTTTTCCTCTGGTACTCTGACCCCCTCCTGTCCCTCGCCCAATGTTCTCCAGCGTGCATACTTGTCTTATTGTGTCTTCTGCTTGAGCCATCTATGATTATCCCCTTTTCAGCCTCTGACGCTTCACTGCATCCAGAGCTTCATACAGAGGGTGCTCTTTATCTGCAGCTACTCTGAGTTATGACTTAGCCTGCAGCACCTTTAGTGCAATTGTCAACAATCCAAGGATGTATCACACGCAAATGATCGGGGTGTCTCTTGTACATCCGAGGATCACCCGAATAGCTTCATTCTGTATGCGGTCTAGTTTCTCTAGCTGACTCTTTGAGACAGTGAGCAAACCCAGTTCATAATCAATCATTGAGATGATTAAGTGCTTGTATGGTGTGAACAGCATTCTTTGCCCCATGTCCACTGCTGCCATAATCTTTTTTAGGCCTTTGACACAACCACCTCTATGTGATCCTTGAGAGACAAGCTTCTGTCAAAGGGGATTTTCTGGTATTGCAGTCTGCTGCTCTCTTGATGTCCCTGCCATTTATTTTTTAGCGTTGGAACATCAGCTTTAACAATCCTGTTGTCCAAAGAACACTACAGGACGGTTGCTTTTTCTGGGTTAATGACAGCACTCATCTCTGTACACCAGTCGATCATCTTATCTACTGTCCCCTGTAACTCTTCAGCTATTTCTTCTTCTTCTTCTTCTTTGCGTTCACTGGCTGTATGTAAATTGGTGGAACGTTTTGGTTGTTCATCCACTTCTGGACTGCAGTCCTGTTCCAGAACCAGAGTGTTCCATCTGCACCCATTTGACAGATCTGACACACCTGTGTGCAGACTGTTGGTTCCTTGCCTCTCAGCAAGATGCAGATTCTTGTTTTCCCTATAATAGGGCCGGAGAACCCACACAGGATTCTTTAGCTATTTGATTCCGATCTCTTCCCTGTCTATAAATGAGAATATCATCTGTAAATGTCAGTATTCTACCAACTCCAGGTGTTTTCAGTTACCCAATCTTACTGGTAAACATACTGAACAGCACAGGTGAAATTGCAGATCCCTGAGGTAGTGCCGGGGCTACAATACGTGCTTTGGAGGTCCATGAACCCAGGCGGAGAGCTACCCGACAAGAATACAAAGCAGCTGCTATCCAGTTCAGTAACCAAGGACAAACTCCTGTCTCCATAAGTGGTGTCATCAAGATATTGTATCTGACTGTGTTGTAGGTATCTTCTAAATCAAGTGCCGTTGCTACCGTTTCCAGCCTGTTCTGGAAACCTTTGAAGGCGTCAAAGGCAACAGTGACTGCATTTGACCATGTATCCTTTCCTGGCCGGTAACTTCCCAAACCCTCTTCAAGGAGCTTTCTCTTATCTTCTCTAGCACTTTGCCGAAAGTGTTTTGTAGGGTTATGTTCCTAAAGTTGCTGAATGTTGAATGATTCTTGCCAGGCTTAGGAAGTGGAATCAGGTAGCTGTGCTTCCACTCTCCTGGGACTAAAGCTGTTCTCATGCTCTGGTTGAAGCAAGCAGTCATCTCCACCAGGTCTGCATCACTCATGTCTCTCATATGGGAATATCTGACCCCGTCAGACCTGAGTGCAAAGTCTTTTACCCTTTTCAAAATATGTTTCAGATCTTCCACCTGTTTGATTTCTTCATAATGTTCATCCTTTATGGCGGCTGACATATCTTTTCTAACTGCAGCTCTGTTGTCTCCATCACTGTGGTCTTTCTGCGAAAGAAATAAACCTTTTCAGGAAAGCCACACCTTCTCATTGTCTGTGGTCAATAGCCAGCGGTCGTCTCTATGAATTATCCCACTAAGCTGGGCTAATCATTCTTGAGCATCTGTCTTTGCAGCTTCCAAAATTGTCCCAAAGTCTTATCGCCTCCAATTTCATTAATAAAATGTTCATGTTTTGCTTTTTAGGCCTCTGCTGCACAACGCTTAAAAACATCTATCTTGTCTTTCTGTTGCATGTCAATGTGGGTATTTCAACATTGGTTATGCAATTAATAGTAAAAGCCTGCTGAGTTGATTCACGAGTCCACTGAGTGTCTGGTGACCTGAGTCAATAATTTTGACTCTATGTTGATTTAAAACAGCAGATGTCAGCGCAGCTTGAGTCAATATTGTGATTCTGTGTTGACTGGAGTGACCAGTGGGTCCTGTTCTGAGCTGAGGACAGACTAGAGAACGGTCGAGAACACTCGAGAGACCAGTCGAGGGAAGAAAAGTCCAGTTGGCAGAGTTGAGCCAAGGACAGCAGGGCGTTCTCTGTGATGAAAGCTTGTCTTGGGTGACGACGCATGTGGTGATCATGATCACTATTGAAACAAGACAGCAGTTCTACATACGAGGAAGACTCTCGTAGATATCGGCAACAGCTGCGTGCTGAGAGGACTCAGAGTTGGGGTGCTGCCAGTCATTGTAGATTTCCTCGACCAGGCTGATGTGCTGTGCGTACATTATGGAGCTGAAGAATTGTGAAGTTTTCAGTCAGCCGACGTGACGTGTCTGCTTCAAGTATAGCAACGACGGTCAAGCTAAGTAAGCTAAATGGAGCCTGTTAATCCCTACAGCTAGCCGAGATGAGGGTAGCCAGCAACCTGGGCACTGAAGCGGTGAGCTCAGGAGTTGTGTGACAGTTAGTGTAGGCTGTCTGATGAAAAGCCGCTGAACTGTTTTAAGTGAGGGGAGTTTGTGACATCATTTCATGTTTAGCCAGTGTTAGATATGTGTAGGATGCTTCATGTTCATTATTATCTGTGCGGGTGTGTGTACCCCAACGTACTTGTGAATAAATATATATAGCGGCAGGCCCTCGTTTGAGTTTTCCTGCCCGTGAGCAAGTTGCAGCGTTCAAGCAAAACTCATTTCCTAGAGAATCACTTGACCACATGTTCAAATGCTGCCAGTTTTCAGTATACAACAACCCCATGTGGGTTCCGGGGCCCTATTGTAGGGAAAACAAGAATAAACCCACTGCCTACCCAAAAGCATGTCGTAATAATCGACTAATTGGGAGCTTTCTTCGTAGTCAGAGTGCATCTGCCTGAGAGGCAAGGAACCAGCAGTCTGCATACAAATGAGTCAGATCTGTAAAACGGAAGCACACATAACACTCAGGTTCTGGAATAGGACTGCAGTCCAGAAGTGGATGAATAACCATAACCTTCCGCCAGAGTTTACAGCTGGTGAACGCGAAGAAGAAGAAAAGAAGAAGCATACAACTCTTTCTTATTTCTTTCCGTGAACAATTCCTCCTGTGTGCTTAGGGATGTTTCTTTAATCGTTTTACTACAGCTCTCTTAAATTGCCGTGCCTGTTCTACCTCTGATGTCCACCATGGAGGCTGCACAAAAGTAGATCTGCTATTCCTCTTCCATGTCCTCTATCAGAGGCGTGCAAGAAGGGTGTTTGTCGGCTCATTCTTGAAAGACCTAAGAGCTCTTGAAGCCATCACTTTACTTTAATTGCTCACATCTCCCACGATGTCCAGCAGGATTTACATAGCTGACATATCCAGGGCAATGATTTTTGTCTGCATTCAGCCCCTGAAGCATGATTACATCAAAACTGTATATCAGCCTCTCTAGTATGGGCTTTCTCTGGCACTGCAACAATTCCAAAAGCACACTCCCTCATGGTTGAACCCCTGCCGCTCTTTTTGCCTAAATCTCCCGGCTTTTGTCCTTCTATTTCTCTGCTTTCTTTTCTCACCATTTCCTAATTTTTACCTCTTCACTCTCTCTTTGCTGCTCACTGAAAAGTAGGTCAAGTGCGGAGCACTTGTTCCGTAGCTCCGGCGACAATTCCTATGAAATGTAAAAATCCATATAACACAACTGTTATGAAGCAGGCAGTAGGCGGTCACCCTAGTAGAGCCTACCTGCTAGGAAAGAAAATGTCTTCATGGAGTCCACATGCCTGGTGTCCCATCTCCCGCTGGCCAGACGTCAACGTTCACCACTGGCTATCCCACAGCCAGGTATAAAAAGGGATCTCTAGTTACTGACTTCATGTGCACCATGTACAAATACCCCTGACCTTCCCAGAATCATGTAAACAGCAAAACCATGTTGCCTTGAGTTGATACATGTTTTACAGGTCAGCTCAACACTCAAGACTACAAACATACCTGGTGTATTTTGTCAGCACAGCGGTCAAAGTAGAGCCCCAGGCGAGCATTGGGCAAGTCATCCACGTGGATCTGGATGGTCTCCACATGTGGCAGCTGTAGGTTGGGTATCTCCACAGTGACATTAATGATGTGTGTAATGCCCAGAGATCGGATGTTCTCTGCTCGGACAGCAGTCGCACTACTGAGGTACAGGCAGCTGGTTATTTCAGCAATTTGGGAAAACATGGCTTTGTTGTCCATGCTAGATTGACCTGGGAACAAAAATGAGGTGATGATGTCAGATTAACCCTTTCACTGCTATGGACGAGATAACTCGTCGGCCCGGCAGACTGCTAAAGACGAGATAACTCGGCTGCCATTTTCTGTGCCCTCACTGCTAAGGACGAGATATCTCGTCCTCGACATTTTTTTACAGATTGCTAAGAACAGTAATTCTTAGGGGGTGAAATAGCAATACACATTACCTTAATCCGATCAAACTGACCCGTTTACATACAATTAAAACTCTTATCACGTGAGTTTTGGCGTATTTAGATGCATTTCACGTTATCCTGTTGCTTTGTTACCATAGAAGCATTGTCGGTGAATGGTAATTTTTTTGCCCTGAAATATATTTCTGGTTTTGCGTTAGTCTAAATTTTTTTTTTTTTAAATACAAAATAACTAGAACATTTGTTTAAATAAAGAAGAATTAATGGAGTTTCTTTCAAGGAGTAGTAGTAAGGATCACTTTGAAGCGTGTGAGTTATATGAGCTGGGTTATCTTCGCGGCACGCCGGCGGACAGTGTACTTCTGGCTGTGAACAAGACTGACCAGTGACCATATGACCTAGCTATCTACATCGACTGGATTTAAAACGGATCCAAAATAATCAAAATAAAGATATGGTCACGTACTGACGTGATGATTAATATTAATGTTAATTATATACTGTACAACTGACATAAATGTGTTTGTCTATTAAAGTGTACAATACTGGTCTTTGTTTCAGTTCATAGTTTCATGTGAATTTCTAGTGTAGTTGGTATCACGTCTACCTGACAATCGAAAGGTCCAGCGTTCAACCCCTACGTGCCGTTTTTTTTTTAAATTAATTATTTTAAATGCAAATTTTAAATTTAAGCTTTTAGCATTTTCGGCAACAGATCACCGAAGTAATAATTAATTAAACATCCTGTCACGTGCGTTCAGGTGGATTTAGATGCTTTACACGTTATCCTGTTTCTTTGTGAAGCGTGGTTGGTCTACTGTGCACATTCATTATATAAAGTTGTTGTGGGGAAAAACACACCTGTTGCCGAATTTCACTTAATGTTAGAGAAATTCTACAGAAATATTGCAAGGAAAAGAGAAAAAGTGTAGGAGGACAAAAAAGTGAAGATCTGCCACTTCGTTTAGTACAAAGGCATTTCCCTTCAATAATAGAGTCCGTAACATCGCAGAAAAAATTCCCAACAAGAAAGTGTGTGGTATGCGCAAAAAGCAAAAAACGACGGGAAACCAGATACATGTGCAAGGAATGTGATTTGGCATTGTGTGTCGCACCTTGTTTTGAAATATTTCACACACAAAGATATTATTAATAATAATAAAAACCATGTTTTTGCTTACTAAAGTGTTTTGTGTTTGCTTTGTAAGTTTGTAATGTTTTCTTTTTGTTAATGAGTTTTCATGGCGTAGTAATAGCGCGTCTGACTTGTCAGCGCAAAGTTCAACCACACGCCTTCAACGATTTTTTATTTTAGGTGTACAATTTTCACCCCGTGCCGCAAGCGCGTCTTCTGCTTTTGAAGGAAAAAACGGTATTCAGCACAGGGGGAAAGATTAGCTCTCGCCTGGCTTAGCACAGAGGTTACGTTGGCTGGCGGAGGGCGCAGCTGCGAAAGGGTTAAAGATTCTTGCAGCACTGCAGGTGTATAAGAGCATTCCAGGGAAATCAACCCAGACAACAGCAAAACCCTAAGAGAACCAAATGAACTGGCCAAAAGGAGCAAATATCACAGTTCTGATGTGAAAGCAGGCACAACATAATTATGTCTAAAACAAAAACAGGACAAATAAACAACAACATGAGGAGGAGGAGAACAAGATTCTGGCAGGCAGTGATGAGACAAATATTTTGCAAAGGACATGATCAAGGGAACACAGGAACAGACTGATAACCAGGCAATGAATGGAACACAGGAACAGACTGATAACCAGGCAATCAATGGAACACAGGAACAAACTGATAACCAGGTCAAGGAAACACAGAAACAGACTGATAACCAGGCAATCAAGGGAACACAGGAACAGACTGATAACCAGGCAATCAAGGGAACACAGGAACAGACTGATAAACAGGCAATCAAGGGAACACAGGAACAGACTGATAACCAGGCAAACAAGGGAACACAGAAACAGACTGATAACCAGGCAATCAAGGGAATGCCAGAACAGCAAGGGAATGCAGGAACAGACTGATAACCATGCAATCAAAGGAACACAGGAACAGACTGATAAACAGGCAATCAAGGGAACACAGGAACAGACTGATAACCAGGCAATCAAGGGAACACAGGAACAGACTGATAACCAAGCAATCAAGGGAACACAGGAACAGACTGATCAACAGGCAAACAAGGGAACACAGGAACAGACTGATAACCAGGCAAACAAGGGAACACAGGAACAGACTGATAAACAGGCAATCAAGGGAACACAGGAACAGACTGATAACCAGGCAAACAAGGGAACACAGAAACAAACTGACAACCAGGCAAACAAGGGAATGCAGGAACAGCAAGGGAATGCAGGAACAGACTGATGACCATGCAATCAAGGGAACACAGGAACAAACTGATAACCAGGCAATCAAGGGAACACAGGAACAAACTGATAAACAGGCAATCAAGGGAACACAGGAACAGATTGATAACAAGGTCAAGGGAACATAGGAACAGACTGATAACCAGGCAATCAAGGGAACACACTGATAACCAGGAGGTCAAGGACCTTGGGATATATTGTGATAGAGCTATATTTTTCAGTTGGCACAAACTGGGTCATCTCATCAACAACAGACCAGCCAGCTTTCACATAAAATGTCCTGGTAAACAACTGAATCCAGTAAAAACAAATCCTCATCTTATAGGGGATTCAAGCACAAGACCATCTGGTTACCAGCCATGCATGCTAGTCACCAGACTATTACAGTGTGCTGTATTATACTAGTAACAAATTTTGTTTTTTGTTGTTGTTGTTCTGGTAGTATGCAGTGGTAAGCAGTACTGGCACTCTAGATTATTTTGGCATCATTTTGTTCAGCACTAGTGTAATAGTCACTTTGTGGTGAGTAATGGCAACTTTCTTTCGGGCATCGTTGTTTTTAGCTTTACTGTAATAGACATTTTTGGGTGAGTATCAGCAACTTTCATTGTTTGAAAAAAGCCCTGGTTACAATACTGAAATATTTCTGTCTCAGACAAATGTAGCACAAACCCCACTAGTTCATTTTCTGGAACTATGTATGCTGTAGACTGTTCTCACTTGAAAATTGTGTATTCAAGCTGTTACCGGCTGTTTTACTAGGTCTTTTTTAAAATATAGTCTCCCGTGACCTTCAATGCATGAATGTAACTGCTGGCCTACGAGACAGTGAAATTCTTTACACAGGAGACAGACTGGTGACCTATATCCCTCATTAAGTTCATTTAACTCTTTTGTCCCAGGGAAGGCATTATACGCTAATTTGTTACAACCGGGTGGCCCTGTCGATGCGTGACAAGTGAAGGTTTTCAGTCTACCAATGACCAGTAATAAAACGCGGACTGCTCAATTTTAACTTCCTTTTGAGTTCTTTATGTCTGATATCATACTTGCTCACTTAGAAACGCGGTTTGAAAGCCAAAAATATAGTATATTTGCTAGATTTGCTGAGTTACTAAGTGTTTGTTTAGAAAGAATATGGCCGCCAAGCAGAATTCTACATGCATGCCAACACGATTTACGGCTACAGAGGCCTCAAAATTTAATTAGTGTTGTTTTTTTTTAGATTTATCTGAAGTTAGATAGATAACGTTGCGAATTAGACGTGTTTCAGTCATTTATAGAGTCAACTTTGATGAGGGATGTGTCTAATGTGTACCTCACGCAAAGGGTACGATAGTCAGCTAGCACAGAAAGAATAAACAGTGAAAAGCTGATTTTCTTCAGTGTCAGTTAGCTCTAGTGCTATTCCCCTTATTATTTAGAAACATAGCTACAAAATTACAGGCACATTGAGTGTTATATAAACTTTGGGCTATCTTCAGGATAACAGTCCCAAATCATCGAGGCCGAAAATATACCTTAACAGGGCCTGAGTCACATGTAAATTGCGGACTTCCGCCACCCCCAAAAGTACCTCCCACGCTGCTACGCGCGGCGTGGAGTGGGGCTAAACTAGATGACTCACGAGCAAATATATTGAAAGAAGCTGCAGGAGTTGCGGTGGCTGCTGCTCGTGAGTCCCAGGCATCTAGTTAAGCCCCAATCCACGCCGCGCATAGCGGCGTAGGATATACTCTTGGTGGTGGTGGTAGTCGCCGGAAGTGCACAATTTAAGTCGCCGGAAGTCTGAGGCCCTGTTAAAGTATATTTTCGGCCTTGATAACTTGGGACTGTTATTCCGAAGATGGCCAAACATTGTTTTGTGTGAACATACTAATTATTTTGGAGTCAGTTTTCTTTACCAGATAATGGTGCTCTGTTATGATGCTTCAAAAGATCCTCTGGAACAAAATCTAACATATAGAATGAGTTTATATTTCACTTAAACATTACTAAGTGGTTCATATTCATTTGTGATTAATTTTGGATATATTTTAACCAGTTTTCCTTGAGTGCCATTGTGGTAAGTGGAATTTTGTAAGTTTTTTTTTTACTAATTTTTGTAAACATGCCATCTATTTATTTACTAATATTTAATTATGCTCTCCTCCGAACTTCGTCCCCATATTATGGCAGCCAAACAAATACCTTAACAGGGCCTCAGTCGTGTGTAAAATGCGGAGTGCTTGCCGAGCAACAAATCGCGGCAAAACTTGAATTGCCTCTGAATAAAGGGCTAATATTATAGAGGGCAAACAAAAACTCTATCAGGGTCTCAGCGATATGTTAATTGCGGACCTATTTCTGCGACTATGCCACACTACTGACAGTATCCCCCTCACTGCTACAAGTGGCGTGGATGGGGCAGATAAACTAGATGGCTGGGACTC